GTGTTTTTTCTGACAAAATGCTGCTCCCAAGGGGAGGAGCATTTTAATCCCCTTGGCCCTGAGCGTATGCAAATTTGTGGCCTCACTAGACTGGCCTTTTTTCTGTGGTGCCGCTAATTTGCGTACATTTGTGCTGGAAGCAATGCCTCATGGCGCACTCCTAGCATAAAGACCGGGGGGTCAGTGAGAGCCCAAAGTCCTGTTCTAATAATCGGGTCCAGGAACTTCCGATTCAGGGTCACATGATTGCTGTGAAAGCCTCTGATTGGATATTACAGTGATCAGTCACTGTGAAGCCCGCCCCCCCCCCTTGTTTTCTCTCTGAATGGAGGAAATACCTTGTATCTCTCGCTGTTCTTTCAGAGAGAGAAAAAAAAGATAAAATAAATAAATAAAAATAATAAAAGAATAAATAAAAATACCTAGATCAAGGTTTGACCTAGGTCACTCCCAGCGCTAGTGTTTGGGTCAAGGTCAGTATTTTTTTTTTTAATCAGTATTAATGTCAGTTTGTGGCAGGATAAAAAAAAAATAGAATAAAAAAAAAAGCAAAATGCACACTATTGTCTCTGGGCCGTACTATGGGTACAAAACAACAAATAACACATATGTGATAATGCTGCGATCGACTGGAGCAGGAGATATTATTTTGGGTGGCTCTTTGGTGGTAGGTTATGGTAGTAGCAAGAAATATACAACTAAATAAAAAAAAAAAAAAATTTCTTTACTATTGTGAGTCAGTTTTCCTTTGATATAAAAAAAAATCAGGAGCTATCCATTACCATTCCCACCAAATGAAATCCCAATTTGTCCGGAAAAAAAAAAAAAAACAGGTACAATCCACCTGGATGTACAAAGTAGTGGCGACGATATATACAGTTTTGCTAACGCGTGTCAAAGTTGCAAAATTGTGCTTAGGCATTAAGATTTTCCCCTTAGGCGTGAAGGGGTTAAAAAGTCCCGCGTGCATGATGCGGACACGCCAGTGTGCATGAAGTCCTATCCATACATTTCCGTTCCTAAAAATACAAAATCTTGTAAAACAAAAGCTGTGGAACACACTAAAAAACCCGTTTACACATTACAGTCCATTTCCATCTCTGTCTTTGTTTAGTACAAATAGAGCAGAAAACGGTTAGAATTCTGCCCCGTTTGTATTGCTGTGACTAATTTTGGGAAGCTTTCCTGGCAGAAAACTATTACATCTTGTCTTACAATGAATAAAGTTCGCTATATTTGTATCATGGCTTCCTGTCTCGCAAGGGCTCTCTGGGAAATGTAGTCCGGCAGCTGCGCCTGTTCCTGCCCGGCCCTGAGAAGAGAGAGCGCTGTCACCGGGGATCGGTGAGTGTGGGGCGGATAGAATGAACGATGGGAGGGGACTCCGTGCTGTGTACGATGACTGGGGCTGCTGCGGAGAGGTTTTCTGATTGACATGAAGTGTTGCTGGGCCCGGCCTGTAGCATTGTTTGTGATGAGGCCAGCACCAACCCACCTTCCCCCTGTATCGGGCGATCCAGGAATGGAGGGAGAGATGTGTGATCTGATCTGCCCGGCCTGCACCCGACTCTGTTTACACAACAATGGCTGACCCCCTCCTCCAATCATTATACAGGGCCATCAAGAACCCGGATCTGCTGCTGTGTTGTCTGTCAGCTTTGTACTGTTGTGGAATTCCTGGCAATCACTTTATACGTGACTGTACATACAGTATATATAAACAGGGCTTTTTTATTCTCAAAAAATAATAGCAGGAACTCCCTTCTTCTGAGTCACGTCTTGTCTCCGCCCCCGACCTACCTCCGATCACCGTCCCTTGGTCCCTCCTCCTACCCACCTCTCAGTATCTCCCCTTTTAGGACCAGTTCATACTACATGCATTTCAATAGCTTTTTTTCTTTTGCATGCACAACGCACATAAAGTAGGTTATATGGTTGTCAATGTCATAGTTCACATCAGTGCTTGCAGTTCCAGTGTGTTCCGGTTGCAGAAAAAAAAAAAAAAGAATGTGCTGCTTTTTTTCTGCACAGAACTGTACTGAAATGCGTAAAAACGCACATGTCCTCTATTTAGATTGAAGAAAAAAAGAGGGGAAAAAATGAACTGGAATGCACATGTCCCTATTTAGATTGACGAAAAAGAGAGGGGATAAAATGAACTGGAATGCATAAAAAAACAGACTGGAACACGTCAAAAATGCACTGGAATGCTCAAAAAAGCATCAAAAACGTGCATGCAAAAATGCATCTGGACTGCTTTTCTATAATGTGAACCGGCATTTAGGGCTAGTTCACACTAGGTGCAGTTTTTCTTTTCTGCATCAAAAATGCATGCAGTGTTTTTCATGGATTCCAATGGCTCTGATTCACACCAGCGCAGTCAGAAAAATAAGTAGAACATGCTGCATTTTTTTTTTGCAAACAACCATACTGGAACATAGCAAACTGCACCGGAACTACATGTGGTGTGAACTGTAAGTAAAAATGTATCCGGAATGCATTTTTGTAGTGTGTACTGGCTGTTAGGGCCAGTTCACACTACATGTGTGTCAGTTGCTTTTTTTTTTCTGCATCCAAAACGCATAGAAAGGTTATACTGCAGTTGTAGGAAAAAAAGTAGAACATGCTGCATTTTTTTTCTGCACAGAACTGTACTGGAACGCAGTAAAACACATAAAAAACGCACCAGCACGCACCAAAATGCAATAAAAATGCAAATATTCCTATTTAAATTAAAGAAAAAGGGGAAATTAACTGGAATGCATAAAAAATGCACTGGAACGTGCCAACAATGCAACACGCTAAAATCGCGCATGCAAAAACGCATCTGGATTGCATTTCTATAGTGTGAACCAGCCCTTAGAGAATACAAAGCCAAGTATCATTTTGTGGTGCTAAGTAACTTGTAATGATAACAAGAAAATCAGAAAAATAGATCCCCGCAGCCAGCAGCAATACCCCCCCCCCCCCCTCGAGCCCCCCAAAACCCCCCGCAGCTACAACAGATCTCCCAGCAGCCAGCATCAACTCTCCAGCAATAAGACCCCTCCCTCAACAGAAGATTACTTACAGCAATAAATAGATCCCCCACCAGCAATAATAGACCACACAAAAAAATAGTCCCCCTTCAGTGACACTAATCCCCCAGCAGCCTGCAGCAGTAGATCCTCCAGCACTCCTCGAAATTACATACATTCAGTGCTGGAGGTGCTTGAACTGCGTTCCTCTGTGTTCCCGTGGAGAAAAAGCCCTGCGTATAGGTGACTTATGCACCCACCAGCCAGAAGATTATGACCATTGAAAGGTAAAGTGAATAACAATGATGATCTCATTCTAGTGACCTCTGAAAGTGGGTGGGATGTATTGGGCAGCAGGAGTCTCGGTCGAAGCACACAGCTCTGAAGGAATGGCACAGGTATGCTTCAGAGTGCATGCACCGGTGATGTCACTGGCTTCTGCTTGCTAGAATATCACCGACATTTAGGAGATATTCATTTTACCTACAGGCAAGCTTTATAATACGCCCACCTGTAGGTAAGAATAAAACTTTACTACCACATTAATGCTGGTCCCGATAGAATGGTGTCAGAACGGTGGAGCACTCAGAATCTGGTGTTGCTGTGTATGACAGCCAATCAGCTTCTAACTTGAGCTTGTTCAATTAAGATTTGGCAATAAAACCTGGAAGCTGATTGGTTTTTATGCACAGCTGCACCTGATTTTGCACTCTGCAGCTTTAGTAAATAAACCCCACGGTGCATTGCAGTTTGTTGTTGGGTTGTGTAACCACAGACTGGTCAGGGTGCCTAATCCGTGTCCACAGCCAAAACCACCTACAGTGGGCATGTGAGTGTCAGAACTGGACCATGGAGCAATGGAAGAAGGTGGCCTGGTCTAATGAATTCAACAATGGATTGAGGAAAAAGAGTTCAGGGTGTTGATTTGGCCTCCAAATTCTCCAGATCTCAGTTAATTGAACATCTGTGGAGTGTGCTGGAAAGATAAATCCACTCCATGGAGGCCCCACCTCACTACTTACAGGACTTAAAGTAATAGTAAAGGTTTTTAAAAACAAACATGTTATACATACCTGCTATGTGTAATGGTTTTACATAGAGCAGCCCTGATCCTCCTCTGGTCCCCCACTGGCACTCCTAGCCCCTCCCACCTGCCAAGTGCCCCCATAGCAAGCAGCTTGCTATGGGGTACCCAAGCAGGCTCGCTCCTTCTCTGTTTACACACAGTGCATTGCTTGGCCCCACCCCCACTCTCTCCTCTTTGGCTCACTGGCTGTGATTGACAGTAGTGGGAGGCAATGGCTCCTGCTGATTTCTCTGCCAATGAAGGAGGAGAGACTCCAGAAGAGCTGAGGCTCTTGTGCACATCACTGGTTCAAAATGGGGCTCACGTAAGTGTTAGGGGGGCTGGGGGTGCTGCTGCACACAGAAGGTTTTTTACTTTCATGCATAGAATTCAATTAAAATGGGCAGCACAGTGAATAAATAGTTAGCACTTCCACCTGGCAGCACTAGGGTCATCAATTTGTATTTCAATGGTTTTTATTAATGTATAACAATTAACACAGGAGCAATAAATCACGCCCACGCAGGGGCTATCAATTGCACATAGAGGAACTAGAAATTAGAGAAATCAGTGCTCTAACACCAACAGAGCAAAAGATACACCCATGCAGGGGCCATGAATGGCACTTAAATAACAAAAACATAAATATAACACTGATAATAACTCAGACTAAAGGCAACTACCGTATTTTTCACTCCATAAGACGCACCTGACCATAAGACGCACCTAGGTTTTAGAGGCGAAAAACAAGAAAAAAAAATATTCTGAACCAATGGACTGCAGACACAGTACAGGGGATGACCAGAGACTGCGGACACAGTGCAGGAGATGACCAGAGACTGCGGACACACTGCAGGAGATGACCAGAGACTGCGGACACAGTGCAGGAGATGACCAGAGACTGCGGACACAGTGCAGGAGATGACCAGAGACTGCGGACACAGTGCAGGAGATGACCAGAGACTGCGGACACAGTGCAGGAGATGACCAGAGACTGCGGACACAGTGCAGGAGATGACCAGAGACTGCGGACACAGTGCAGGAGATGACCAGAGACTGCGGTCACAGTGCAGGAGATGACCAGAGACTGCGGTCACAGTGCAGGAGATGACCAGAGACTGCAGACAGTGCAGGGAATGACCAGACTGACTGCTGACCTTTGGGGAGGGAAGGGGAGCGGGTACCTGAATTTGACAGGTACCCGCTCCCACTTCCGCGGAGTTGTCCTTCTCTCTTCTTCCCGGGCCGGCTTCTGTGACAGCCGGGTGCCACTGCGCATGCGCGAGAAGCGCTGTGCTTTATGAATGGCCCGGCGCCTTCTGGGACCTGTCGTGTCCCAGAAGACACTGGATCATTCACAAAGCGCAGCGCATGCGCAGTGGGCACCCGGCTGTCACAGAAGCCAGCACGGGAAGACTGTGCAGCGCTGGAGCGAGGAACAGGTAAGGCCCTGCAGGAGAGAACAGCTGAGCGGCCGGCCCGGTATTCTGACATGGTGGCGGCAGAAATACCGGACCGGCCGCTTTATATTCGCTCCATAAGACGCACTGACATTTTCCCCCCTTTTTTGGGGGGAAAAAAAAGTGCGTCTTATGGAGCGAAAAATACGGTATCCACTGCTACACCAAAACAAACAGAGAAAAAAGGGGGGAAAGGAAGGAGAAGTACAAAAGAAAAAAGGATAGCCAAACCAAGAGCAGGGATCCAGGAACGCCAAAGCCGAACAACATCACATCCCCAGGCTAGCCGGGGGGAGCTTGGGAAAGGTACCGTATTTTTCACTCCATAAGACGCACCTGACCATAAGACGCACCTAGGTTTTAGAGGGGAAAAACAAGAAAAAAAATATTCTGAACCAATGGACTGCAGACACAGTACAGGGGATGACCAAAGACTGCGGTCACAGTACAGGAGATGACCAGAGACTGCGGACACAGTACAGGGGATGACCAGAGACTGCGGACGCAGTACAGAAGATGACCAGAGACTGCGGACGCAGTCCAATAGATGACCAGAGACTGCGGACGCAGTCCAGGAGATGGCCAGAGACTGCGGACGCAGTCCAGGAGATGACCAGAGACTGCGGACGCAGTGCAGGGGACGACCAGAGACTGCGGACGCAGTGCAGGGGACGACCAGAGACTGCGGACGCAGTGCAGGGGACGACCAGAGACTGCGGACGCAGTGCAGGGGACGACCAGAGACTGCGGACGCAGTGCAGGGGTGCAGGGGACGACGCAGTGCAGGGGAGCCAGAGACTGCGGACGCAGTGCAGGGGACGACCAGAGACTGCGGACGCAGTGCAGGGGACGACCAGAGACTGCGGACGCAGTGCAGGGAACGACCAGAGACTGCAGACAGTGCAGGGAATGACCAGAGACTTCAGGAGATGACCAGAGACTGCAGACAGTGCAGGGAATGACCAGAGACTGCTGACCTTTGGGGAGGGAGGGGGAGCGGGTACCTGAATTTGACAGGTACCCGCTCCCACTTCCGCGGAGTTGTCCTTCCTTCCTTCTTCCTGGGCCGGCTTCTGTGACAGCCGGGTGCCCACTGCGCATGCGCGAGAAGCGCTGCGCTTTGTGAATGGCCCGGCGCCTTCTGGGACCTGTCGTTGTGTCCCAGAAGACACCGGATCATTCACAAAGCGCAGCACATGCGCAGTGGGCACCCGGCTGTCACAGAAGCCAGCGCGGGAAGACTGCAGTGCTGGAGCGAGGAACAGGTAAGGCCTTGCAGGAGAGAAGAGCTGAGCGGCCGGCCCGGTATTCTGACATGGTGGCGGCAGAAATACCGGACCGGCCGCTTTATATTCGCTCCATAAGACGCACTGACATTTTCCCCCCTTTTTTGGGGGAAAAAAAGTGCGTCTTATGGAGCGAAAAATACGGTATATTGCAACCACGGCTCCCATATTTTCAAGAATTGACATTGGGAGTCGTTGCAGATACTCTCCGTCTATTCATTGAGCATCATAGCGGTGATACAGTCCCGCACCCCCTGAAGAGGGACAAACGGGCTCTTCCAGGCCTGAGCAATTGTTCTAGAGGCCGACAAAAACAAATAGGAAGCCAACTTCTGCTGGTGAGCCAAGAGGCCCGGTATGGGACAATGAAGCAAAGCATACCGAGCATCCCGGCGTATAGAAAAACGGAACAATAATAATTTGCAGCAAACCGTGAGTCATAGGTGGGGGTCAAGCAAATGCCTAGGTATTCAATAAAAGAAGAGGCCCATTTATAAGGGAAGTGGGATTGTAGGCGCGAAACCAGATCTGAGACCAAAGTAATATTAAGCGCGGCAGTCTTATTCAAATTGATACAGAGACCCAAAATCAAAGAGAAGCGCTCAAGAACCTGTTGCAAATTTGGAAGCGTCGTCAGGGGATTAGTGAGAGTCAAGAGGGCATCGTCTGCAAAAAGGTTCAACTTGAACTCCTGTCCCGCGTATGGAACCCCCGATATATTACAATCAGTCCGGAGCGCCATAGCCAACGGCTCAAGCGCCAGGACAAAGAGCGCTGCGGACAGGGAGCATCCCTGTCTCATACCCCGCCAAATAGGAAAGGGATCTGAGAAATACCCAGCGTATTTAACGGAAGCCGAGTCCCCAAAACCCCAGCGAGACCGCACAAACCGCAGATGTTCCCAGGATAGAGAATCAAAGGCTTTATATATGTCTAAGGACAGTAAGAATCCTGCTATTTTCCGCTGTTGTAGAAAATGTATAAGATGGACCACCTTACGAACATTATCACCCGCCTGTCTCCCAGGGACGAAACCCACTTGGTCTCTGTGGATCAGTCTACACAAGTATTTATTGATACGAAAGCTAAGAATCTTGCCCAATATCTTCAGGTCTTCATTAAGAAGAGAAATGGGCTGAAAGGCTTGCAGTTCCTGCACATCATCGGTCGTCTTAGGAATCATGGAAATATGAGCTCTAAGCGCATCCGGAGAGGGCAATGAGCCCTGACGTAACTCATTAAAATATTCAGCGAAGAAGGGTGCTAACAGGGTTGAAAATTTCTTATAATAGAGGCCGGAAAAGCCACCTGGACCCGGGGCCGCGGTGGACTGTAGAGATTTAATAGCATGGAGCACTTCCGATACGGTGACACCGGCATTGAGGGCCTTCTGCGCTGCCTCAGATAGTCCAGGAAGTTGGAGGTCTTGAAAGAATGTCTCTGCCTAAGCCACAGGGAAGGGATCTGGTTTGGCGTAAAGGCTCGAAAGAAAGTCTGCGAAACGAGAGACAATCTGCTGGGGATTAGAAGTACAGCCATCCACGGAAAGTCGCAAGGGTCATCAATTTGAATCCCAACCACGACTCTAGCTACCTGGAGCTTGCATGTTCGCCCTGTGTCTGCATGGGTTTCCTCTGGGTAGTTTGGTTTCCTCCCACACTTCAAAGACATGCTGGTAGGTTATTTGGATCCTGTCTAAATTGGCCCTAGTATGTGTATGTATGAATGTGAATTAGGGACCTTAGGTCCTCCTTTAACCCTGGTTCACACTAATGCAATGCAGCACATCGCATGTGATTTGCATAGGAGCCTCACCACATTCCTGTGCAAATCGTATGCATTTTCTGTGCAGTGCAGTTTGAGCCATACATTTTTTATGGCTCAAATTGCACCGCATCCACACCAAAATAGTGCAGGACCCTTTTTTTTTTTTTTTTTTTTTTTTTTCCGCTCCAGAATCAGAACCCTTGCGTTACGATTCTGCACATCAAACTGTGGTTTGCGAACCGATTTCGGAGTGTTGTTAACTTAAAATACAGACCATCAGTTGTTCACATGAACGTTGTACAATTATGATGCCGTGCAAATTCCGCACCGCATAAGTGTTAACCAGGGCTGGGCGTTAGGGACTGATGTGATAGTACAATATACAGTATCTCCCAGAAGTGAGTACACCCATCACATTTTTGTAAATATTTTATTCTATCTTTTCATGTGACAACACTGAAGAAGTGACACTTTGCTACAATGTGACGTAGTGAGTGTACAGCTTGTATAACTGTGTAAATTTGCTGTCCCTTCAAAATAACTCAACACACAGCCATTAATGTCTAAACCGCTTGCAACAAAAGTGGGTACACCCCTAAGGGAAAATGTCCAAATTGGACCCAATTAGCCATTTTCCCTCCCTGGTGTCATGTGACTCGTTAGTGTTACAAGATCTCAGGTGTGAATGGGGAGCAGGTGTGTTAAATTTGGTGTTATCAATCTCACTTTCTCATACTGGTCACTGGAAGTTCAACATGGCACCTCATAGCAAAGAACTCTCTGAGGATCTAAAAAAAAGAATTTTTGCTCTACAAAAAGATGGCCTAGGCTATAAGAAGATTGCCAAGACCCTGAAAATGAGCTGCAGCACGGTGGCCAAGACCATACAGCGGTTTAACAGGACAGGTTCCACTCAGAACAGGCCTCGCCATGGTTGACCAAAGAAGTTGAGTACACTTACTCAGCGTCATATCCAGATGTTGTCTTTGGGAAATAGACGCATGATTGCTGCCAGCATTGCTGCAGAGGTTGAAGGGGTGGGGGGTCAGCCTGTCAGTGCTCAGACCGTACGCCGCACACTGTATCAAATTGGTCTGCATGGCTGTCATCCCAGAAAGAAGCCTCTTTTAAAGGTGATGCACAAGAAAGCCCCACAAACAGTTTGCTGAAGACAAGCAGACTAAGAACATGGATTACTGGAACCATGTCCTGTGGTCTGATGAGACCAAGATAAATGTATTTGGTTCAGATGGTGTCAAGCGTGTGTGGCGGCAACCAGGTGAGGAGTGCAAAGACAACTGTGTCTTGCCTACAGTCAAGCATGGTGGTGGGAGTGTCATGTTCTGGGGCTGCATGAGTGCTGCTGGCACTGGGGAGCTACAGTTCATTGAGGGAACCATGAATGCCAACATGTACTGTGATATACTGAAGCAGAGCATGATCCCCTCCCTTCGGAGACTGGGCCGCAGGGCAGTATTCCAACATAACAACCCCAAACACACCTACAAGATGACCACTGCCTTGCTAAAGAAGCTGAGGGTAAAGGTGATGGACTGGCCAAGCATGTCTCCAGACCTAAACCCTATTGAGCATCTGTGGGGCATCCTCAAACAGAAGGTGGAGAAGTGCAAGGTCTTTAACATCCATCAGCTCCGTGATGTCATCATGGAGGAGTGGAAGAGGACTCCAGTGGCAACCTGTGAAGCTCTGGTGAACTCCATGCACAAGAGGGTTAAGGCAGTGATGGAAAATAATGGAGGCCACACAAAATATTGACACTTTGGGCCCAATTTGGACATTGTCACTTAGGGGTGTACTCCCTTTTTTTGCCAGTGGTTTAGACATTAATGGTTGTGAGTTGAGTTATTTTGAGGGGACAGCAAATTTACACTGTGATACAAGCTGTACACTCACTACGTCACATTGTAGCAAAGTGTCATTACTTCATTGTTGCCACATGAAAATTGATTCAAAGCAAATTTGTCAAGCTATTACCTTACCATTCTATGCATTAAGGTAAAAAAACATTCTGGGTACAGCTACCCCCTCAGCCCCCCTTTATACTTACCTGAGCCCCATCTCAATCCAGCACATGAGAGCTGGGGTCTCTCCTCTTTGGCTAACACAGCAATGGGAGCCATTGGGTCCTGCTGTTGTCAATCACATCCAGTGAGCCAATGAAGAGAGAGTGAGGGGCAGAGCTGAGCTGCGCTCTGTATTTGAATGGACGATGTCCATCCACAGGAGCGTGGCTTAGGAGAGTCTTGCTATTGAGGGCACTCGGCAGAGGGGAGGAGCCAAGACCGCTGGCTGGGGACCTGAAATGAAGAGGATTGGGGCTGCCCTGGGTAAAACTACACATTGCACAGAGCAGGTAAATATAATGTGTTTGTTTTTTTTAATTCAACCTTTAGAATCACTTTAGGCAGCTCATACTTCAAATTTATGGGCCATTGAATGTGTGGGTTGGGGCATCACTCCCCCTGAGTTATTGTATTCTGACAGTGGGGAGACTCCAGTGTGATCCAATTACTGGAAACCACGTGACTGGAAGTGACGACCGAAAGTCCTGCCTCTACTCGTTTCATCTATATGACATCTTCAGGAACCTGTCTG